GACATTTATGTAATTTGTTATAACTATTTCGTGGAATTATTATTCATCTTTCTTAATCTGTAATTTTTCCGCTAGATATCGGATTCGAACTCATCTGTTACATCACATCAAACCGCACCGGTATTTTTCCTGACTGAAAACACGACATTAATGTTCATGTTGCACTATCATCGTCTAGATCAAATTTATGTAATGCTTTCTCCGAATACTAACACACTTAGTTCTGTGTCGATTTCTGATGTCAATACTACTACTAGTAGTACTTCGACTACTCCTACAACTACTAATTCTCCTGTTTATGTTGTTTTCTCAGCTGATTGTGGTACAAGTAAACAACAATTACGTTGTGACTACTTAACTTGGGGTTTAGATTTAACATTACATGTAAGAAATGCACAATTTCGTTTTGCTCAGGCTAATATGCGTGTGAATCGTTTGAACATATCCACTAACAACATCTCATCGTCAACTCTTTCATGTAAGAATAATAAACAACAATTAACTACTGTCTATTATAATGTGCCTCGTTTTCTAAATCATCCTGTTGCATTGGCTTACAGTCCAATTTGTCACAGATAAGATGCCTTCATATAGATGACTTTTTCTCAGTCCAGCATCACTCTCCATGTTGCCTCATATTATTTTTTTTTTACAGTGATAAGTTATCTTTAAAGAATTCCTATACAACATTTGTACATGTTTCTTTTCTGTATAAAAAAAATCTGTATATCAATGTATAATAAAATTGTAATGTTGATCTTTACTAATAACAACTACCTTGATTTGAAATAAGACAAGTCATTCATTCATTCAGTTCTTCGTCTTTGTAAACATGTGTATATCGATCTTATTTGTATTCACTTTGGTACTTTTTCAAGATCAACTTTATGTAGAATGAACTATCTTTATGGCAGAATATTAATAATAATAATCATTAAAGATTTCTAAGACTCTGTATGATAAATTTATGTTCTTATTATTTTGATTATCTTTAGTTGTTCGTTTATCTTTTCTTAGTTAAAAGTTTTTTTAAGAATAATTTTCAACAAAATAAATCTTGTACATGTAGGTAGTTTTATGGTTGATATGGGGGGATTTGTCAATGCTGTTGTTCATATCAGAGGTGGTTTTGTGGAGATTGTAGTAATTTCAATAGTTGAGATCATGAGTCTAGCTTAAAATGACTGATGATCTCAATCATCGAAATTACTATAATATCCACAAAAGCCCTTTCTGATATTAAGGCCCCCAAACGCCCTGATACGGCCAAGAGTGTGAAGAGTCAGCTCTCCCTCTCGAAATGCTCTCACATGAACACGCGTATATAGCCTCTGCCAGGGAAGTCCTACTCACTGCCTTCTCGTGGCTGGGGTGTTATCTGTCGAATTGAGAGAACGAAAAGCGAATGTTCGGCGGTTTAACCGGGTTGGTGGATACGGAGAGTCCACCTAGGGGAGTTGGAAAACCCTGATTCCAAACCAATGGTGCACATGGGCTCCAGTATCCTGAAGGAACAAATGGCGTATGAACCAATCGTTGGTCACCGGATACCATGGGACTGCATCTCCTAACGTTGCTCCACTGCCTTGTGGATCAGACCTTCAGGTCGAAGTCTCCGGGTGTGACCCTGTAAGAAAACCACCTACTTCGGTTTGTGCACCCGGTCAGTATCACAGCCCTCACACATATCAAATGAGATTTGTGTGGCTCATATCTGTTTGTCACCCCCTTGTACCAATATCTATGTGTTAAAATAAATCAATAAAACAACATATGCTCACTAGTGACTGGCTTCAAGAGGTATTTCCTGGAGTTCTAGTGAGAAGCAATGACTAGTGGAGTTCAAATTAGTCAGTTGTCAGATAATAACTCACTGATGACAATGTTGGATGTGTCGCTAAATTTCGTGGATTAATTAAAATTAGACATTAACACCGTCGGAATTACGGGTAACCAATATGAACAGGGGAATATCTCAGTTCTCATTGATAATGATCAATCCAATATGAATTACATTTGATAGACAGGTTGTAAAATAGAATGAATTGTATTTGCACATACAATCATATTGATTTATACGAATATTCGTCAATATTAGAACGAATAATTTGACAAAAATTGGCCGTCAAGTATATAAGGAAGACATTATTTGTGAAAATTATATTTGGAATAATCTCAGCGATTGAAATGTCAACAATTCCAACGTTTTGTCCAGCGGATTTGTTTGGACTTCTTCAGGGTAATAAAGAAATATAGTGTTTAACAATCAAATAAAATCTTGACTGTGGCTTATCCAATCATATTTAGATGCTGACGTTAGTAAATAGGACAACATGGGTCATGTGAAACGTTTACAATGTGGAAGTGAATGTATAAATGATTGTGTGTATGTGTGTGTAAGATTGAGTTAGTAATAGTTGATATTAAATTTGTTATCATATGAAGGAAAAAATAGAGGTGCAGGTTGAAATTGTTTCTGAATAGTCGATATGCATGTAAAATGAGGCCCATCAAATACATAATTGTAGTGCTATAATATCCCAGATTAATTTTTATCAAAATAACGATGCATGTGAAATAAACAGGTTGGATAAAGAAAGGGTCCAACTACTTGTTAACGAACATTTGCCAAGTGGTTGCTAGTTGAATACCATCCTTTCTGTTCAGGTTGTTCTTATTAGCTCATATATACGGTGCTTCTGTCAATCTCTTTGTTATGATGAAATAGAACTCTTAAATTAACGTGATGCGAAATGGATCTACATTCTGAATCCATGCCCCTATAAAAAGGCCACAGTTAAGACGAAAGTTATATTGATAAGTGCCTAAGTGAAACAGATCAGTGGTCATAGTGTTGTATAAAAAATAACTAGGATATCGACAAACAAAAGTTTTGTCATTAATTTAAGCCTACTCTGATAATGTTGATACGTATTTCATGTGGGGCCAGGTATTCAGTTCGTTCGATGCATGTTTTATCCAAAAGAAATTCAAGAATATTACCTGTCTTGGTCGAAAAGATGTGAGAATCGATCGCTAAGAAGTTCTATAATCGGACACCTTATGAGCACAGATCGTTTGATCAAAACGAACTCTGCATTCAAAGTTATTTACAAGGTGAGTAGACAGCCCTCAACGACAGACAACTTCCGTCTTCTTAGCATCACTGAAGAATTTAACATATATTTGGAAAAACCAGAATTATGTACGCAAAAGAAACTTGCGTAACCTCTACTTGTACCATGGTCTTAATCTGTCGTAATTCTTTTCGTTTTTTCTTTTCCAGATATCCATCTCCCTTCTATTTTCTCTTTAGATCTTCTACCCTCAAACTAATTTGTTTATGTTTCAATGATTCTCCTGATTACAGTTCATTGAAATTTCATCTTATCACGCTAAACATCCTTTTTCCACAAATAATTCTCGATATTATCTGCATAATGAATATTCAAGCTCTCAATAACATTGATAATAGTAGTTTCCATAATATACATAACCCTTTTATTTGTTTATTTTACCTCTCCATCATCATGTTTAGTAGGATTTTGTTATTACTGTAATTATAATTGTTATCATTCGGGACAATCAGTATATACTTGCTATTGTACAGCTTTGGAAATGAATTCGCTAAATAGAAAACTCTTCATTGAATCAATTTTCTTTCGTTTATGTCTCAATAATTAGATTTCATTCAATTATAAAAGACTGGGCGGTGTATTTCGTTTTTTGTTCTTTTATCTTCATTTTTAATTCTCCTATCTTATCAAGCTATTGCATAATCAGATTCTTGGAATATGTACGCTTATTTATTGATTTTTCAGGTTTCTACTAGAATGATTTATGATGACCTTGATGCGGTAACATCATATACTTAAGGTGAATTCGACATACGAACATGATTGATCAATTATTTATGGGGATCAATATTGTGACCTTGTTTCTCTTTTATACTTTTGATTATTTCCTTGATGAAACTTTAATTAAGACTGTATGACCCCAAAGTTATTCATCTGAAACTTGATAAAATTTAAAGCAAATATTCCCTTTATCTTCATATTGTTTGCTTGAAACTTACTATTGAGGTTTAAAACTGCGATTGATCAGTCTCTTATTGACGTGTACGTATCCTGTACGGAATGTCTCGATATTACCTTAAGCCACAAGCATTCTAAGCAAAGATGGATGGTGGCTAGTAGTGGAATGCAGGATGCGCGGTTCGTCCTAGTTGGGACTTGTAAGCTGGATGTACCTGCATCCCACAGTTGATATTCACGATATATATATATATATATATATATATATATATATATATATATAATATATATATAAATCTATTGCAGCTGAAAAAGATATGGGACAGTTACATGAATAAACTGATGGGTTGTTTATGTTATCCATTTCAAAAATCTTAATTATTGTATGAGCTATTCTTATTTAATTTGTTAAGCTTTACTTAGGGACAAAAATAAATGTTAGTGTTTTACAAGCTTTGCATAAAATGAAATAACGTCCCGAAACATAGCTTTCGTAGTTTGTCAGGGTTTCTTGTTTCCCTGTTCACATCAGTAATGAGATTGAACAGATAAAAAATCATTTTCACTGTTCTGCTAAATTATGTGAATCAATATTCCTAGTTCAATATTATACTAGACAAAATGTTTAATAAGGTTGATTTGTTTTTATTTGCCCACATTATTATAAGAAATTTTATATACTGGGAAGAAAAAGCCTATTTACATGTCCGCATCGTACCTCCTGGATAATGGGACAGATGACGCATAAACTAACGTGAGTCGTAATCCAGATGATAGAGATCAGACTAATCACCCACTCGACTGATACCCTTAAATCGATTACGAAATCCACAAAGTATCATAGCACAATTACTGTTGGATAGAAAAACAACAACAAAAATTGACAAAACTAGTGCATGTAATATACGGGTTTACTCCTTACGGGGCAAACTCCTACCGGTTGCAAAAAACAGCTATTCTAGCCCCTGGTAATTGTACCGTGCTTCAATGTGGCTTGTTTCTTGCCAGAAGGGTCTATTAGGCTTCACCAACTTGTTTGGTTGTAACGGACAAACATATATATACTACTAACAAGAGATAATAATCACTACTATTCATAACATTCTTTTCTTTTACTGATATCTGATTAAAAAATACAACTGAGAAATATAATTTAAAAAAACACATTAAAATAACTCTGTAAATTAATGTCAGGAAAAGGAATAAATTCAATTTAACAAAATTAAAAATGAGTAAAAGATTTGTATGTTATAAATAGTAATGGAAATATTACACAACGGAAAGACAGACAGACCGACGGATAGACAGATAGACCGACCGATCGACAGACAGACAGACAGATAGATAGACAAGGAGAATGGAATCTTGAAGGTTAATGTGATTTTGGGAACGAAAATTGAGAGAAGGAGGAATTATATCACTACATTCAGCATATTAAGCAACAGATAAATATTACATAATTAATATATAGAAATGAAGAAAATCTGTTACATACAAAGAAGCTAATAAATAATATCTGTGTTGAATTAAGTATATCAGTAGTCAATTACTATTTATATATATACATATATATAGTGTTCAATAAATTATGACTATTATGCTCAATAAAAACTCCGTATGTAGCTCTTTTAGAGTTACTGCCGGTCCGAAGCCCGGGTAAAAGAGGAGGGTTGGGCATTGGGTTAGCGATCCGTAGAAAACTAACTCGCTAAAAAAAACGCTAACCAGAAAAATGCTCAACAAAAAGTAACAAACAAACGAACAAACAAACCTTTCTTTATGATAACATAACAACAACAACGAAAATAAATGATCATGGTGATTTTCTTTTCTCGTTTATCATTTTCTTTCTTCTTTTTTTTCTCTAAAAATTTATTTATCTAATTTGTTAATAAAAATGTATCGACTGCATTGAATTGTAAAAATGTAGCAATAAATACACAACAATGCCATATTGCATGTGCTAATGGAATATGACCATCTAATTTGAAAAATATCACACCAGATAAATAAACAAATGCCCCTGTAAATAATAATGGTAGACCAGATTGTTCATGCTAAATTTTAGAAAATGAGAAAAGAAAGAAAAAAGAGAATTAGAATTACTGCAAGGAGTTTGTGAAGATTGTTCAGTTTTATTGAATAGATTAGATTATTATCAGAAGGGGTTTGTGGAGATTTTAGAAATTTCACAGATTGAAATCATGAGTCAATTGAAGCTAGAGCATCATGGAAAATCTGGAAGCACTGGACGGCCGTTTCGTCCTAGTATATGACTCCTCAGCAGTGACCATCCACGATCCCGCACCACGCGAGATCCGAACCCAGGATCTATCAGTCTTGCGCCAAGCGCTTAACCAACTAGACCACTGAGTCGGACGGCATCCAGTGGTGTTAATGTCTAACTTTAACAAATCCACGAAGTCGCGCCACCGTACACCATTGTCTTCAGTGAGCTGAAATCTCACAACAGACCTGGTTGAACTCCACTTGTAACGGCTTCTCACTAGGACTCCAGGAGTATCTCCCGAAGTCACTAGTGAGCAGATGATCTTATATAAGATCCTGCGTTCGAATCTCGCGGGGTGGATGCGCACTGCTGAGGAGTCCCATACTAGGACGAAACGGCCGTCCAGTGCTTCCAGGTTTTCCATGGTGGTCTAGCTTCAATTGACTCATGATTTCAATCTGATAAATTAGATTAGATGGAAAAAAAGTGGACTTGATAAACTAGAAAGCGCTTTATGACTATTTCATTTTAGTATAAATCTATTCGTTGCCGGGGATCGAACCTAAAACCCTTGAGTCACATGGTGAGCATTTAACCTTCTATAGAAGTCCATACTTTAAAAAACAAAAGAAATAATGAGTAGTGTATAACATTAAGAGGATGCAACACATTCAAGACAATTCTCAAGAGTTAAATATCTCTTCCGTAATCGCCAGCCGTCATGAATACAATATATATATTACTCTTGATCAATCTTTTACACAGAACTAGTTGATAAACTCGAATGACGATTAACTTCCTTGTTACAAATCAACAGGATAAAATTTATGAATATATGATGAATTACTCACCATGTAAATGAAACTATAAGCTGGACAAATGGAAATTGCTAAATAGATCATCAGTTCAACAGATTTAAATCTAGAGATGAGGAAAATTAAAACAAGTGAGATTAAACTATATATATATAAACTGATTTATTAAGTACAGAAATGTTTACTCGGTTTCAGTTCTAAATGTGATGGCTATTGAAACTATAGAACTGACTTAACAGAAATAGCTAGAGAATGGTTTGAAATTGCGATTATTTAATGACTGAAAGTTAAGCCACTGAGCCATCTCTGTACAATCGATAAGAAATCTCACATAAATGATGAGATGTATGCCAACATCGCAACTATTTTCTATAAGCATATAGCTGATACATCTTTTGGAAAAGAAAGAAAGCTAATCTAATGAGAGTTTTTGAGTTATTTTCAACTTAATAAGACTGAATACATCCTACTGAAGTATTGAATCAAATGATTACATAAACAGATTCATACACTTAAAACTCTAAAAGGGATGATATTTTAATGAGCCAAACTTGAACACAACTAATTTTGTACGAAGGTAAGTAGTACTTTTATTCAACGAAACAAAGTTTGAATATGTTCCTATAAGACAATCTTTCTTCAACTAATATAGATAAAGGAAGGTTCTCATATAATTTCTAAATTAACGTAAGTTTTCTTACTACTGCGGACTTTATTTTGGTTACTATCTTGCTCTATTTATTATATCTCTATTTCCAATGTCCTCAAATTGTGGTTAAATATATGTGTAAATATATATAATTATAAATATAAACTCATAGTTATACTTCAGTCAATTAGTCAATAGTGAATTATATTGGAACAACACATGTAAGCGAACAAGATTGTTTTCAATTAGATCTTCATCAGGCTTTACTCTAATATACATGAATATTTATACGAAAATGTTAAACCAATCAAGGTAATTTAGGTCAATAATCCCAATGGAATAGAATAAGTCACCACACATAATAAGTAAAAGTACAAGTTGATAGTAGGGAAACCGGTGTACTGATAATAGTGAGAATAATAAAATACAATAACAAAAGTCTTATCAATAGTTAAACATTGGAAACAGAAGGTCAAATGTGGGTAAATAGACTTGGAATAGTCAACATAAAACATTAAAACCATTACGTAATAAAGAGTGAGTAAATAATTAAATAGTGAAGAATAAAAACGGAAAGAGGCGAAAAATTACAAACAAATACGGGATGTGAAAATAAGGTTAACGATAACAAAATAAAATAAAATAAAAATCGTTTGTTAAGTTGTAACTGGCCACGGAAGGGATAGGGGGGTTAGGAATTTCTTCCGTACATATAAATTGGGGTTATATGCACGGATTCCTATGGTTTCAGCTATATTTAGGAGACGAGAACGAACTCCGTTGGGAAATAATGGAGGTATACGACAGACCACTCGAAATGCTTCCGATTTATCTATAGTACGACCGCTATCAATAAAATGTGCCAAGATAGAACCGCGTATTGTTTCTATCTGGCCCTTTATAAACCACTCATTCGTTGGTCAAGTTGTCTGGTAGTACGCCCGATATGGCTATCTCCACAACAGCAGCTGAATTTGTAAATCCACATTGAGGAGGCCAACTCAGGTAATTTATCCTTCGTTTGAATAGACATTACTGATCGACTCGAGAACGTCAATGCAATATCAGACGCATAGGATGTTCTGCTAATTACTTTCGTTAACCTATCTTTCAGAGTATCAGATTATACAGAGTATATTAGCAGAGTATACAGAAGAACGTCTGTCAAACGCTGTTTCATTTTTATTTTGCATAACTAATATATATTCGATAAAAAATGTTCTGTTTTGATGCGGTGTTTACTGCCTCTCAAATAAGAAAGGATAGCGCTATGACTAATTCACTTAAAAGTGCTGGCAGATGCTCATCAATATGAAGCGAGAGGTCCTTTCAGGTACGAATTCAATAGCCCCAACCATTTCCCACAAAGTCAACAGTGAACATCAAAATAAATGCTTTTTTTTAGTTTCATATCTATCTCCAAACAAGCTAGTTCTCAATAAAAAGGGCGTTTAGTTTGGAAAATTTAAATTAAATTTTCGATTGGCGATTATTTCACTGAATAAGTTCATGCCGTACTGTTAAGAGAAACGTTAAAATAATTAGTAGTAACTTCAATAGACCAGATTGTTACAAATATAATTTCCACTTATCTAATCAACAAACTCAGTGCTAAACTATTTTGAAATAATTCATTCAAGTTAAGATTGCAGTTTGTAGAGAACTTATCATCAATATTGTATGGATATTTGGTACCTTCAATAAGTGATAGGATCATTACCTGTTGCAAATATATGCATACTTGAAGGTTTTCATCAACAAATTTCATGAAAACATTTATACTACTCATGAGTAGTGATATGTAAATGAAACTCAATGGTTGTGAACCATAGAATGGTCAGTAAACAATTTCACTTTTAAGAGCTAGAAGGTGATTTTACTTGTAATTTGTTTTCAGTGAAATCACTGGTCGGTAGAATTTAATATGGAAAACTCGTGTGTATCTTGTCAATCTACATCATTTATAAGATTGTAAGTAGTTAGGTGATGGCAATCAATGGAATAGGTTATGTGTGTCCTATTCTATTTGGTACTTATCACCTGGATGTACCTGAATCCTACTATCGATGTTCACAACAAGAGTCGAAAACACAATCTGTGTGAAACGTTAAATACATTATCTACTTAGTTACCATTTGGTGTATGGGGAATGAATCTTATTTTGGTAATTGTGTGAATATTCACGTTGAAATAAAATGTACTGGATTCAAGACCTAAAATTTATCAATGATACAAGCATAAGTAATTAATCAGCATATAAATATATATCAAATCACAAACACGTTATCTACTAAGTTACTGATACCGGACAAACACTAACTTACTTAACGGGTATAATATTTATATCGATATAAGAAACCCTTTCCTACTGAGGCTGAAACCTATTTATCATTTTTCAAATATATTCTTGAATCTTTGAAGAACTTGTTAATACTTGAACATAGATCTATGATAATACGGTATTAATCCCTGAAGAAAAAACAGAAATCAGTTTTGACTAGATAAAAAACGTAGAACTACTATTATATTTAGGCCAGTGAGTACAACCAGATTTCTACACCACAGTAACAAGTCGATTTAAATTTATCAATAAATAGATACGAGTTAAGCATTTGAAACGATGTCTTATTGGCTTTCATATTCGATTATCAAAATTCTTGACTTACTTCAGTCATATAATTTATGATGAATTACAACCACTAACACTATCTACAATCATGGTTGGAAGCCTGCACATAATCATAGATATAATTTTGAAGGTAAAGGCCGAACTGTATGACGCTGGTTATTTTTAGGTGGTCAGTTACTTAGTGAACAAGTCAGTCTTATTGAAGTTTAATTGATTAATATTTGAACAGATTGGTGACATCATATTCGGCTGTGAAACAGTTTTAAATTATAACGAGAGCTATGAAAGGAGCAATTATTGCCACTAGGATATATTGGTTACATCAATACAAATTTCACAAGATGTATTTATGCTAACAAAGAAGGAAAGGACCTTAGTTTGACTATCAAGACAACAAGAACTCAAACCATTACTATGATGATAAGAACATCTTAAACATTAATCAAGTTCTCAAGCAAATTGGTATCAGTGGATGAAGCATTTGGTGTATTTGATGAAACGTGACGAGTTTGAGTGTCAAACAGAATAAAACGCGAATCCATGTTTCCACAACTAGCCATCATCTATCTTTTCCAAACAAAAACAATTCTAGTCATCATTTGTACTTTTAACCATTACGTGTAAAGGTTATTTCGAGGTTATGTGTATAGATAAAATTAATATAAGATTATGAATATTCTTCGTTACTTCACGTGATTATTTTACTGAAAGAAAGAAAGAAATACTTTCCAAATTAGTACAAACTAATCTTACAGGTGGATCTTCAATGTCAATCTTCTATTTTCCCATCAAATGTTACTTATGTTTGAATGTGAATTTACAAACGAGTAATATAGACGGTGATTGGACATAAACTAAATATTAACTTATACCAATCAGTCACATTATTTAATATACATGTTTATTGTCGACAAAATCCACATCGTGAATTAGAAATACTCAAAATTCTGAGAATCCGTTTATCTCATTAGATTAGTGGATTCGTGAATGATATTTCAGAGTAACTAATCAGTTTTGTAGTGAATATGTGTTTTCAATGTTTTACAATGCAGCATGTGTGAGGATAATTTCAACTTCAGTTACCGATAAGTAATCGATTAATGGTAGTTAAAAGTGTCGTATTCTCACCAATAAACTACATATTCAAACCACAATCGACTCATGTTAGAAACAGTTCTCACACACAATATAAATCAGTGTCAAATACATAGACCTTATTGTTGTTGTCTTTGTTAAACCAATTATCCTATTCAGGTTGGACAAATAATAATGCAAACAACTGTGGAGTATAATCTTCTACGAATTTTCGATCGGATGATATTCGCTACTATCTACAACTTCATTCTAGTAGTTATATCTGTGGACAAAACAAACATAATTCAGGGAAATTATTCCTTGCTTCTGTGAGAAATTCAAAATCAAATCGCTTTTATCGTTCATCATATTATATGAGCGATAGATGTGCCTTGGTATAGTGCCTAGAACGTTCAGATTTGTGTTAACTTTTTATACATTACTACACAACGCTGGATTTGATAAGTTTTCGTTTCTTCTAGCATGGCGTAGATCAACAGTCAATAACTTCACAAGTTAATACTATGTCGTAGTTTGGCCACCGTCAGCTTTCTTCCATATTACTCCCAACACATGTACATTGTCTTGTATAAGTTTTAATGTTATCTTATTAGAGTAGTGTTGCAATAGTAGTTTACTATATCCTTCATAACAATACTTAAAAAAGGTCTCGATTTCAATATGAACAGAACACGGATTTCGGCTTCTGAAATTATTCCGTTGATCGAGCCTGCCTTAAACAATGTTCCGGATGATCAGGCAAATACATTGAGGTTTAAAATCGCAGCTGTAATTTTGAACCAAAAACCTAATATGCCTAATATCTCTAAAGAAGAAACGTATGCCCTAAAATAGTTACGGAAAGACAGAAAAATTGTTATTATGAAAGCAGACAAGGGAAACATCACTGTTGTTATGAATAATTCTGACTATGAAAGAAAAGTCAATGAACATCTCCATAATGGACCGTATGAAAAAATCATGAAGAGCAAATGTAGAGCCACTTTAAATAAGTTGAAAGCTGAAACGGCCAAATTGCTACAGAATTTAAAGCCCAAACTAGGATCATCTTTATGGTTTTCTTTATATCCGAAAAGCAATAACCCGTGTAGATTTTATGGCCTACCAAAAATACACAAAACAGATGTACCACTAAGACCTGTGATTGATTACATTAATTCACCAACTTATAATCTTTCTAGATACTTGGCCGAAATTCTTAAACCATATGAAAGCGTAATAAAATATGGAATAAAAAAATTCTAATGATTTCAAAAACATTGTCAGTAATATTCGGATAGAAGAGGATGAAATAATGGCAAGTTTTGATGTTTGCTCATTGTTCACTAATGTTACTGTTAAAAAAGCTTTAGATATTGTGTATAACCTGTTAGATTCTGACATTGATCTTAAACAGCATTGCCTTCTAGACCCCTCGGACATTATTAGAGCGTTGGAGCTTTGCTTACATTCGACGGTTTTCATTTTTCGAGGAGTACTGTACAGACAAACAGAAGGTGTGGCTATGGGATCACCTGTCTCTCCAATTGTGGCTAATTTATTCATGCATTCATTGGAAACAATTGCTATCTCAATGTGTTCCATTCCACCAAAAATTTGGGTAAAATACGTAGATGATACCTTTGTCATTATAAAACGAGATGGTTTAGACGAACTATTTCAACGGTTCAACAGCTTAGATAACAAAATCAAGTTTACTACAGAGTTGGAATCGCCTGAACGCAGATTACCTTTTCTAGACTGCCTGGTTGAAAGGAAGGATAATGATTGTTTAAAAATTAATATATTCCGAAAGCCTACATATTCAGGGAAATTTTTAGATTTTAGGTCTGCGCATCCACACTCGACCAAAGTGACAGTGGCCAAAAATTTGATCACCAGAGTCAAAAAACTTGTCACTGAACCGAATGATATAAAAATGGAAATGAATTTAGTTGTATCCACTCTATTAATGAATAATTATCCGAAAGGTTTTATTAAAAGAATAATTAAGAATGAAGAACGGAATGATATTTTTAAAAAAAGAGTTAAGCAAGATTGGATGAACACAGTAGTGATCCCATATCGTAAAGGTATCTCAGAAGATATCAGAAGGATTTTAACTCGTCAAAATATAAGAGTATTCTTTCGAATGAACAATGCTCTAAGATCAAAACTAGTAAGAATCAAAGATCCAATGCATAAGGATGATCAAAAGAATTGTGTTTATGAAATAAAATGTAATGACTGTAATGCAACGTATGTAGGTGAAACATCTAGGCAACTGAATGTGAGGGTGAAGGAACACAAACTGTGCTTAAAGCACATTCCTAAATCCTCAAGTGATGTAAAAAAAAGCTTGAGCACAGATCAGCGATAGCATTACACTCGATTGAATCGGGTCATACAGTTGATTTCAATGGCACGAGAATCATTCAAAAAGGATTCAATTCTTACAAAGAACGACTAACAGCCGAAGCCCTACATATATGGGCTAATTCAAACAATATTAATAGGAGAGATGGAATACAACTAGCTGTCCCATGGCAACTAATAATTAATAAGTAAACCTGATCTCCTTTTTTGCAATTTGATATATCTATGCCATAGTAACTAATTGATAGATAATACGTTCAATGATTCAAATCCGTTATCTTATCTGAATATGTTAAACAATTGACTGGAACATTAAAAATAACACACACCTTCAATTACATATACATTCCTCTTTTATTTTGTTTACTTATCTTATTTATCTTCATCTAATGCAGGCTGTGGTATTTTTGATTCATTTCATATATAAAAATGATCTGTTTTTCTTAATATACACAGACCGAATTCAATATTTAGTTGATTGAAATTTCTTCTCACATCACTTGCGTATAAACACATTCTGTTGTTTTCACAGATTGAACTCATGAGTCAGTTGAAGTTGTCTTAACACGTTTTTGGTTCCATAATCACATACATTGTCCTTATGTGTACAAAAACAATTTGTCATAACCTTGAATTTACCTTGTAATCCTTAAGTCATTCTATGACCTAGGATAATACGACAATTTCTTATTCTTTCTCTCACCTTGGTTATTTTCAAATGAACTTTTATTTGGTTGACCTTTACTATTCTTCATATTATTTTCATATAAACATGTCTCTTACACATTAATGCAAATACTTATTCAGTATACAGTAAACCGAAGAACCATGGTACCTATTTATATTCAATAATTTTGTTGTTTGATTATATTTTCCTTGAAAAAGCTTGGACCAGATTGCCAGGCGAAACGTTGGATTTACTTAAAATTGATTCGCTGAGATGTTACAAATATATTCTTCTTTTTTTTAATGTCTCAAATTAACTCGGCGCCCAAATATTGTGAAACTATTCGTTCACATTTAGACGACAGTTCTTATTTAACAATATAAGTAGTTTAGAAATAGAATTCACATATATGATATGATGTTGAAGACAAGAACAAAGTCTGATTATGAGAGATTAGTTCGATTGTAGATTGATTGACTTATTAGTTATCATACCTTTCTCATATTGTCTATTTGTTAACCAATTTCTATTTCTATTTATTTCTTTGTTTCAAAATCCACATTTCGTCAGGTAAATGCATTTGTATCAGAATTTCTAAATTCATTCTATTGGGTTCTTTTTTCTATCACTTTATACCACAGTAATACATTTAGTAAAGAAACATGTTCTAATAATCAGTAATATTGTTTCATTGAGTTCATAATGATTACTTGGTTGGTAAAATCAATGTCATGTTGATAGCTTAACTATAAGAAACTATTATTTTTCTTTCTTTTTTTGCGAACTCGGTAAATCTTTTTTTTCTGAGTTCCTAGCAATTGGTTATTCTGAATACTTTGAAGAACAAAGAACACCTTGAAATATTCCCGATTTATATATAGTGAAATTTTGAAATAATGCAAAACACAATGTGACATATTCTACTCACCTATCTAGATAAACATATTGGAATGCACCACCGAAAATTGCTGCAATCCATACAGACCACAGTGTAGTTAAACCCCATGATGCATGGAAATCACGTAATAACAGCCTCAAAGGAAGAATATATAGATAAACATATATTTATGAGTTCACACATTGAATAGATATGTGAAATGAAAGATTTTATTTTAATTTAAAAGATCTCACTGAAACTAAACCCATTCAGATAATTAGTCAGTAATAGTTGTTTCATCAACATTATAAGATTAAAGAATTTATTAACATGATAAATGTAATAATAAGTGAACGAATAGTTCAGTTAATAAGTCAAGTAAACACAATTGATTGACTGTTGAGTAATGACAAATATCATGTTTGTTTAGTTCATAGTACGATTGATCGAGTCCTGTTGATCAAATTGTAATGTGATCACTAGTCTACGTGATTCACTATCGCCTGTACTATATTGGGATATTGAATGGTCAAAGGTTATCGGCACAATGATCAATCAATTGTAAATATCTCAATCCTGTAAAAATTTGGTCGTGGTGTGGATAGCTTAGACTATGGAGCTAGATAACTCCGGTCCAAACAGCGCAACAACCACTACTTCCCCCATCATTGTAGGTACGCCCCATCGACAGGTCTGCACAAACAAAAAACTTAGGCGTAAGATTTTCTGTCAACTACCCTCAATCATCTAACTTAAGTTAACTGTAAACAACCTACGACTTGGAGCGTAACAAGTAAAAAGCTTAACAAAATGTAAAAAAACCATAGCAAAGAAGTAGAAATAACAATATCTATCACCACGAAAAGAAATATGATTCAAAAGTGAGTAAAAATTAACTCAACCTCTCTAACATAAATTACAATTATAAACAAGAATTCAACGAAGACGTTTACATGTATTGACAAGGCTCGGTACAATAGTCAGTAAATATAATATAAACTAATCTCATGACTATTTGAACACTCAATTTTACTGCTACCGACTAATATCACAAACAACTATGTAAGCGGTAAGCTAAACATTCAGTAAAATAGAGTAACAACATATAAAGCAATAAGTTCCTTTTATAAATTTTGATAGAGTAATGAGAAGACGGTTGGGCAGCATCATTGATGAACACGGTGGATCTGATGCAGATATGAGGGCAGCATATTTACAACGGAAGAACATCTAGAACTCAAAACAACTGTCAACCAACACCAAGGTCAAAATTTTCAATACAAATGTCAAAACAGTTCTACTGTATGGGGTGGAAACCTGGAGAACTACGAAAGCCATCATCCAGAAGATACAAGTGTTTATTAACAACTATCTACGCAAAATACTTTGGATCTGTTGGCGAGACACTATCGGTAACAACCTACTGTGGGAGAGAACAAATTAGATCCAAGCGGAGGAAGAAATCAGGAAGAAGAGTTGGAAGTGGATAGGACACACATTGACGAAAGCACCCAACTGCGTCACAAGGCAATCCCTCACATGGAATCCTTAAGGTCAAATGAGAAGAGGAAGACCAAAGAACACATTACGCCGAGAAATGGAGACAGATATCAGAAAAATGAACAAAAATTGGATAGAACTAGAAAGGAAGGCCCAGGACAGAGTGGGTTGGAGAATGCTGGTCGGTGGCTTATGCTCCATTGGGAGTAACAGGCGTAAGTAAAAAAAAGAGAAAACGGAGTTGATCTGAGAAATGTGATGCACTTGCGCTGTACATTTTGAACAATCTAGTCACGTATATACATGTCAAGGCATTTTATATGAAAATTAATAAAGGTCAATTAAATGAAAGTTCAAATAAACGAAGTAATAAAAGGGAGAGAAAACTAACATTGTATAGAAAGAATAGGAAATTATCGCATTATCCTAGGCCATTAAATGACCTAAGTATTATCAAGGTAACTTCAACGTTACGACAAATTTGTTTTTGAAGACATAACGAGGGTTTAGATTTAGGAATAGTCAAGGTTCCTATAAATTTCAGAATACGTCCCTCACAATTTCTATACAACGTTCTAAAAGCTGTAATGGTGTCAGTTCTGTACCTTGTTTCAATTATGTGTTTTGTCATCGATGTATATGGCAACAACATAGTATCATTGATTAATGTTCGAACTATCAAGATAAGTAATTCGATATTCCAATATGCTGAACACAATGTATTAGTATAAACTGAGAATTGGGAAATCGATAGACAAATGTGTTATTTCTTGCGTGCAGCATTTAGAGACTTTTTAATGGTGACATGAAAGATATCAGATTGAACGAGATGACATAAAAAACTATTGGTTCAACTAATTACAATCATGTTGATATGAATAATAACTTCATAAATAAAAGTCAAAAAGTCGTAGAGACAAATATGTAGAGAACATTGTTCTATTGATGAAATACAAAACAAAACGAAGTGATAGAATGATGACATTTGCTCACAAGATAGAAGTGCTGGAACAAATGTACAACAGAAATTAAGTGAGAAAACAAGCATAGTGGAATACATTTTCCTTCTGAAAAAGAAATTTGATTATCAACAAATTATTCAAGACAAGAAGAAACAAAACCAGAAATTATTTAACAAATAGACAATATGAAGAAGGTATGATAACTAATAAGTCAATCACTCTACAATCGAACCAATCTCTCATAATCAGACTTCATTCTTGTCTTCAACATCATATCATATATGTGAATTCTATTTCCAAACTACTTATATTGTTATCAAGGATATAGTAAACTACTGTTGCAACACTAATAAGATATCAACAAAACTCATACAAGACAATGTACATGTGTTGGGAGTAATATGGAAGAAAGCTGACGGTGGCCAAACTACGACATAGTATTAACTTGTGAAGTTATTGACTGTTGATCTGTGCCATATTAGTAGATACAGTCTACTACGTGACTGAGGTCAGTGCGATAGCCACGATTAGTTATTGCAGATTTCGGATGACAAGTCTCAGAATCGGTCATAATGGCACAAATGTATTTACTCTATTTCACTCCTTTACAAGTTGTATTTCAGTATTCCTTCATATGTAGGTTTCCATTGTGTCTTTTCAAACCACATTACCAATATTGAGCCGTTCAAATGATCACTGACATAACATTACTTAGATTTCATTGTTGATTTCATCTCATTGTGCTAATGTGATATGGGAATTCGTTCTGACACACGTTCGTTCAACGCTCTAGGTTGATAATGAATAACTTTTAAATCAAAGTGAAGATTCGACAAATAACTAATGTTATGAAAGTAGACTGAAAGTCAGATAGAGGTAGACACACACACACACACACACACACAGAGAGACTCAAGTCATGCTACTTAATAAATAGTTTTAAATTATTTCGCGGTCAACTGAAAACAATGAACACTAGCAACTAACAGATAATGTGTACATAAACACCCATTTTGAAGTTGACCTAATTTATAAAATTAATAATCTCATTATTATTTTATGATGGAAACCTAATGAAAAGATAAAGAGACAAAAACAAACATATTTTCTTTATTCTAAAGTCAACGAAAACAAAGTAATTGAAACCATACTTTTCACATTTGTAAACTTGTGAAGGCTGGATTGAATTAGAACTTTCTAGAGATAAGATGTAACTAATGTAATATTAGTCGATGTATATCACACGACAAATGCATAATATGAATACAATGGAATGAAAAACACAACAAGAAGAAAATGTCAGTGATAGTGATAAGAGTGCGATAGAAAGACTGGAGTGAATCTGAAAAATATATATTACAGACTAATGTCAATTGAAGTGAGGGATGGATGCTTGTTTCAGTATGGAGCTCGTCAACAGTGCGTTATTCTGAATACACCATTAGTGGAACCAACAACATTGATCTTAAGATCAATATGTCGTGAAAAGGATTTGTAAAATAAACTAATTTTGAATCACTGCAGAAAAGCAGAATCCTCTATTTGATTAATTTAAATATGTTTTCTCAGTTGTGCCATAATTCTTTCAACAATAACAGTTGTGTTTATCTAAGGTTGACGATATCTCTTGGATGGATGAAGCAATCATATTGCACAGTGACTTCACTTGCTTTCCACTAATCAGGCAGATAGATGTCATTTTATATCCAAAAGAATAGAAAAGTGTTTTTACGTTTACACCTTAAGTGCTCACAAGAAACTTGTTCTTGTCGCTACTGTTCATCGAAAAGAGAAAGTTATATAATCTGTTTTCTCCACGTCTATGTGAGTATGGAATAAATAAACGTGGAGAAGGTGAACAAATCTAACACAATAAGTTGTTGTGAAGTTTAACTCGGTCACAGTCCACAACTTCACAGTCTTCAGTACACGTTGTAATAAAATACAGACTTTCATGAGAATATATTGATTGAAAGAGTTGAAACTAGTTAAAAAAGTGAAAAAAATTGCACTCAAACTCGGACATCGTTAAGCATAAGTTGATGAATGATTACTGAAATAGAAGGCAACTTACCATGGAGTATATGAGGCTGCTATAAACAAGCATATAACAATTCTGTCACAGAGTTGGAGTGTAGAACGCAAACGCCTAAAATTTTATGAGCAGAAATGTAAACAACACAAAAAGTTGATTGTAAATCAAGATGACTAAAGTAGTTCACTTATTAAACAAGACAGAACCTTCATGATACTAACACTGAATTATATACGTATATATAGCAAATCAATTGACTGAAGACGTTCATCAAAGTACGTCAATCACAATATGACTTGGAAATTAACTAAGTTATTTTGTAAATTACTCGAATAACACTAGATTCATCCTACTAAGTTATCGTCTATGAAATCAGTTTTGAAGAGTAGTTTTTTTTTTGTGTGTGTACGAGGATTAGTGTTAAATAGTGTTAGTTTAAACGTTAGGATGAAAGCATACTGTGGTTGAGTGATCCTTGGAGATGATCGTGTGGTTTTCTAGCCACTTCTCAGACAGTTAGAATAGTCCCTGAAAATAATAAAGTATTTTGCAACATAACGAACGATACTTGTTACACTTTAGTGATTTTAGGAGAATCATTAATTTTCTAAGGATTCTGATCGGTTTTTTAATTCTAATGGTGTAGAAATTTTATAATATAACCCGATTAATCTGGAAACAAAGTAAATCATGATAGTTGTTTCCTACAGAATCTTCTTCAGAGTTATAATGATAAATAAACAATAAATAATTTCATGTAAGTTGGTCTTCGCCTACCAAGTTTTTATTAGTGAATTTGAAGGAATGTTATGGAAAGGAAATTATAAAAGAAAAATCGTTGTCTCCGTAATGATATAAAGAAGTCATGAAGGATAATCATCATTTATTTTGGGACTGCAACTTTACCAGCCCATCCATTGTTCAATGAATCAGTAATAAATTGATTTCATTTGCTAATTTTTTATACATAAACTACAATAAGAAAAGTCGTCGAATCTAGTATTATATAGTCTGTATAAAAAGTTAATATTTGATGTGTTTAACATTGTTAATTTTACACCATTATGACAAATCTGAACGTTCTAGACACTATACCAAGGTAAATCTATCGCGCATGAACGATGAAAGCGATTTGATTTTGAATTTCTCACAGAAACAAGAAATAATTTCCTGAATTATGTTTGTCTTGTCCACAGATATAACTACTAGAATGGAGTTGTTTGTCCAACCTGAATAGGATAATTGGTTTAAAAAAGACAACAACAATAATGGCAACGAAACTATTCTTATCTAATCCTCAGTAGTGATTAGATTTCCATGGCCACTGGACGAGACGGATCAGAATCCCATGAATTGCACGAATATATGAACACTGAAGATAAGCATTGTTGATGAGTATTGGCCGATTAAAAACATGAAACGACGGCTACCTATCGATTGCTTTCAATCATCTAACAAACGCTACATCTATATAACTTTTCTTATCTGCACCAGACTGTTACGATGATGACTAACTGACCTACTTCACGGATAAATTTGAGTTATGGTATGAGTGAGAAGATCTAAACAATGACACTAAACATATTAGTTTGCACTGCTGTCTCTCATTATCATATGACGAAGAACAGGGAACGTGATGAATACTACTGATCATAGCGAACTTAAACGATTACACAATCTTTTATATTACTGAACAAAATCAAATTACTGAGTGAATATTAGTGGATGACTAACTATCGAAATATGTAATATAAAAAAGTACCAACGAGAGGACTGTCAGGCCTTCCTTCCACAATTAAGACGGATGTGATATGAGACTGAAGAGGTATATTACCTGTTCCATATTACAGTCTAAAGGTTATGGTCACATGAATCATAAGTTTACCATTTAACACAATAATTGAATAAAACCCCCTCCAATACAATAAGTTATGAACAAATCAAAGACTACTTGTTTACAGAGTTAAGATCTATGTATTTGACCCTGAGTTATATTGTGTGTGAGAACTGTTTCTAACATGAGTCGATTAAGGTTTGAATATGTGGTTTATTGGTGAGAATATGACACTTTTAACTACCATTAATCGATTACCTATTGGTAACTGAAGTTGAAATTATCCTCGAACGTGCTGCATTGTAAAACATTGAAAACACACATATTCACTACAAAACAGATTAGTTACTCTGAAATATCATTCACGAATCCATTAATCTAATGAGATAAACGGATTCTCAGAATTTTGAGTATTTCTAATTCACGATGTGGATTTTGTCGACAACAAACATGTATATTAAATTGTGTGACTGATTGGAATAAGGTAATATTTAGTTTATGTCCAATTATCATCAATATTACTGGTTTGTAAATTTGCATTCAAATGTACGTAACATTTGATGCGAAAATAGGAGATTGACATTGAAGATCCACCTGTAAGATTAGTTTGTACTAATTTGGAAAGTATTTCTTTCTTTCAGTAAAATAATCACGTGAAGTAACGAAGAATATTCATAAACTTATCTATACAAATAACTTCGAAATAACCTTTACACGTAATGGTTAAAAGTACAAATGATGACTAGAGTTGTGTTTTTTTCGAAAAAGATGGATGATGGCTAGTCGTGGAAACATGGACACGTGTTTTATCCCATTTCTTCGCATTTGTATTCTAGTATTGATGATCACACTAGGATTCGAATCCGCTAGCTTTCGCTCAAGATCCTCAACGTGTTGTCCTCTGAAAACAGATGGATGTTAATTTGACCAACGGTTATGATGTTCATATCTTTAGTAGTAAAAGTTTGAGTAACTGAGTTCCTGATATTCAGACTGTCTTCACGAATGAATGCTATGTTGTTATTGATTCAACTTCAAAGAGTATGAAATCTGTCAGTTTCAATAGCAAATGTCTAAATAACTATCCTGTATAAACAGAGTCACTCATGATACTTAATTCTGCACGGAGAACTATGTATCACTTTAAAAATCGTATTTTTGTCATTAATGTCCGTTTTTAAGCTGGTATCCATTGAGAATGTCGCTAATTTACTTTGATTTTACTTTATAGCACAGGATGAGAACCGAGCTAATCCAAACTTTTCATAGACTTTACAGTTTCATTCAATTTCAAGTATAAGGTCACATGTGATCACTGGATTTTAAATAATAATCAGATGCATATACAAACTCCGACTGTGGTACTCGGACTTTTCTAATGTGATAACACAAGCAAGCTACATTCATACACCAATTTCTATTCGCTATTGCTCCTTTTATTATGCAAACTTTAAATTCTCTATCACTTGACAACCTCATTGTTATTGTGTGGCGCATATGTATTTGGTGCCCCCTTGTACCAATCTTTATGTGTTCAAATCAATCAATCAATCACTTAAATCAGACTACATTGGCTGAAACTTTTGTTTCTTTATCTTACCATGTCAGACAATGGGGCCGAATAGCAGTAATGACAAAAGCAGAAAGTTAACGCTTCAAGGTAATGTCTTGCGGCCAACTGTGATGTGTTATATCCTAGTGAAGATTAAATTACGGGTAACTTCCGAGGACTATTAATGGACTAATATTCCATAAATATTCTTATTGTATAATTATTCAGTAATCAGATTATGTATATTTATATCCCTCTTATTATAAGCTTCATTTTGACCTATAAATTATTATTGTACTATTTACTGTCCCTAAATTATGCTCAGTTTGTTAACTACTGCCTCCCATGTTCACAGCCACTTTTTAGCTTTATTGTGTACAAATGTTATTTCCTATTTTATAGTGAGTTGCGGTTTGTTTGTTTGATATATAAACATAGTATGTTTGAAATATATGATTCGTATAGTGGAAGCTGGTATTGGTGTTCTGGACTCAAGTGGACGGGCTAGGCGGACATAGGACCAATAAGGACACTAGGCTGTCCATACCGGTCGAACGTCATTGGTTTGGTACAGTGTTAAGATTGCATAAGTCGTATTTTGATTGGTGGATAAATCACGTGATAAAAAGCCGGACATAAAGTCACAATATAATGGGATGTGATGACAGTAAGCTGTTTCTCTTAGATAGCTACCATCTCCAGAAACATTTACTTTTCACTAACAAAAGGATGGTTTAGGAAACTTAAACCATGAAACTATCATACCTCACTTTACCCCACAGGTTACTGATATTAGCGATTAGGCCTTCAAGGTATATAGCTAACAAATCTAAAACCATTCACATAAAAGCAACTATCCAACGGACAATACTCCCAGGTTATCAAGACCAACCCTAAATCAGTTTTTTTCCGGATCCCACAAGAAGAAGTATCTTTCGACGCTATAGGCAGCTAAAAAGTGACAAATCACCATATACCTCTGTGGCATAACATAAGGATTGATTAAATACATAAATACACCTTTAGATACCCACAATGTTTCATATTAAGTAACTCATAATTAACATCTAAGCAGTGATTAGATATAATTGTTTTTGTCACATTACTTTTCCATTAAGAAGTAGAAGCAAATATTCGAACTATATTCTTAGTTGAAACATTAAATTACAATTAATGACAGTTGTTTTACAAAAAAATGGTAATAGTACTAATCATAATCCATTACCTTATTCTTTAAAAAAAGGTTGTATGTGTGTGTGGGGGGGGAGATAACCCCTTAATCAGTTTCTAAATAATTATGAATTATGTACAAATTTAAAGTAGGGAAATGTAATTTATCTTTTATTAATGTATATGACATTTCACAAATTGTACTTGGAGAATAACTTAAACGAATATCCTTTTTTTCTACTTCTAATAGCTGAAACATTAGCATAAAATGGTCTAAATATAACATAAATAGAATGTCATATTTTATCGTTAGTGTATTAGTATACTGTTCAGAAATGGTAATGAATTTGTAAGGGTGAATACAAGAGGACAAAGAAAATAAGAGAGGAAAATAATGTAAAAAAAAGTAAATGAATAATCATATGAGTATTTTTGTTTGAAAAATATATCAGTTAGGGAATTTAACAAACAAGAAATAGTTCTTATGGTTAGATAGCTGATCGAATAGAAATTAGACTGGTATTCTATAAACTGATTGTTATAAAACTGTTATAGAAT